GTAAACATTAAAAAAACAAAAACAAAAAACAAAGGAGACCCCTCTGTGAAGAACGGGCGGCCAACAGGAAAGAAAGCGGGTGTCTGTTGAGGGTCTCTTCGGGCCCAGGCTCCCCCTGGACGCTGAACACAGGTCACTTCATCTGACCCCCGAAATGGGCTCGGAGAACGAGCCCCGGGGCCCAGAGACACGGCCTGCCCGCTCAGACCCGGGACGCAGCAGGGGATGCGCCGGGGGCGGGGCTCAGAGGCGCTTCTCTCTAATGACGTGATTACACGGCTGCCAGGTGCCCCTCGGCACCCCTCGGCTCAGACGCATTTGCCCCCTGGGGGACTTCCAGGCTGGGGAGTGTCATCTCAGGAACCCAGCCTTCGCACAGGAACTGTTTCCGTGGGCTGGTGCTGCCTCCCTGCTGCGGGGGTGGGGGACGCAGAAAGATACGAAACCGGGGTTTTCGCCCCAGTGGAGGTGATGCCCAGCGGCGGAAGAGGAGGAGCGCTCGGAGACGGGGCCTCCGCCGTGAATGTGCCTGGGGGCCACCTCTGTGAGGACGCCCCGCTCGCCGGCCGCTGGTTCCGATGTGACCGTCCGGATACAGCCGGGCCCACAGGGTGCACGACCCAGCTGCACACAGACCCAGGCTGGGGCCTTGCTGAGCGCCCCTGAGGCCTACCTGGGTTTTAGTCTAAAATGCTACGCGTGGCCTCCTTTTCTCCTGTCTCTCACCTGATCTTGTGGGCCCGTGTGGAAAGGGGCCGATGGAAAGCACCAAAGGGAGGAAATGGAGGTCTCGTAGGGAGACGGGACCAAACTTAGGGACTCCTCAGTCAAGGGGGGGCCAGGATGACGCTGTGCTGTCCGCAGGAAGCACACAGTGTCCCAGAGGCGGGGGATTTGGCTGCTGCCCTGGCCCTTCCTGGGCTCAGGACCCCCGCTGAAATGTGGAGGCCAGATCCCTCTCCGGGTTCCTTCCTGCTCTAAAATCCAGGAACTGAGGGGCGCCTGGAGGGCTCAGTCCGTTGAGTGTGGGACTTCGGCTCAGGTCATGATCTCATGGTTCATGGGTCTGAGCACTCATCAGGCTCAGTGCTGACAGCTCGGAGCTTGGAGCCTGCTTCGGATTCTTTCTCTCTCTCTCTCTCTCTGCCCCTTCCCTGCTCACCTTCTGTCTCTCTCAAAAAAAAAAAAAACATTAAAAAATAAAAATAAAATAAAATCCAGCAACTGATGACTTTCAGTTGGGTATGAACAGCCACGTGGCACCACTGCCTGGTTCTCCCCAGTGCATGACCTTGACCCCAAGAGTGGGCAGTGGGGGTCAGGGCCGGAGGCATTCCACTGATCAGGGATAGGAGTCGGTCCTAAAGCAGGGTCTGGGAATGCTTCCTTCCTCCTCCTGCTGCTCCGTTTCTCCCTGTCTTCCCTTTCGTCTATTTCCCCAGGAGTCTTGGTTGGGAAGGAACAGGAGTCCGTGAAGACAGAGCAAGAGACACCCCGGGGGATGGTTTCTATAGTGAGGATGGTGAGCGAGAAGGTAGGATGAGTCACCCACTGGGTTTTCCTGGAAGCCCACACTCCAAGACAGGGGCTTCACTCTCCCATGGTGTTGGAGCTTCTAACCAAGTGTGGGGCCCACGGAGAATCAAAGCAAACATTTCAATTTCAGTTGAAAAGCAATGTATGTTCAAGTTGGAATATTAGAAGAATAACAAGACCCAAGGGCAACAGGGTAATAGCCATTATCCTGCCCCGCAGGGGCCAACGCCCTGGTGAGCATCCTTTGAAAACACATACCGGACATGCTTCTTGAGAGGGGGAAATGGGATTATATTGTTTATTTTGACCTTTTTTTTTTTCCTGTAGTCAGCTTGTCCATATCGTGATGAACGTAACCAACTTCCTCCTCTCAGATGTTTAAATTGCTTCCAATTGTGACTTGTAAAAGGTGCGATAGTGTCAAAACTTATAACCAAGTCTCGAAAGTCCTTCATTATTTCCAGCAGGTAAAATCATTGCTATGGACTTGGTTGGTCCAAATATTAATGTTTTTGATGCTTCTGATTCACACTGACCAATTTTCTACCAGAAACTCTACACTGATTTGCGTTTCTTCTGGCCATTTACAAGAAGATCTGTTTTCACTATCATCAACACTGCATATTTCAATTATTTTAATATTAATTTTATTTTAATGTTTATTTATTTGTTTTTGAGAGAGAGAGAGCACAAGTGGGGGAGGAATAGAGAGAGAGAGGGCAGCACAGAATCCAAAGAAGGTTCCAGGCTCTGAGGTGTCAGTGCAGAGCCCGACTCTGGGCTTGAACCCACAAACCGTGAGATCACGACCTGAGCTGAAATCAAGAATTGGATACTTAACCAACTGAGCTACCCAGGTGCCCCTATTTTATTTTTTCAATGAAAGATGAAAATCTGTGTTAAAATTTACATTTCTTTGTTTATTAATAAATTGACTACTTTTTCATGAGCCTCTTGTTCAATTGCATTTCTTCTTTTACGAATTGTCCCTTTTACAACCTTGACCCATTTTTAACATCAAGGTGTTTGTCTTTTCCCTCTATGTTTACGCAAAAAAATTAATTTTAAGGATATTAACCTTTGTCATACATCTTGCAATTCATTTGCCCCTTTTAGTACTTTGTCTTTTAATGTTTCTTAGGGGGTTTTATGTACAAAAGTTTTAAACTTTAATAGATACATCAATCCCTTCCTTTTTCATGGTTCGTGCTCTGGAAGTCATGCTCATTGCTCAGAAGCGAATGAGATGGAAGAGAAAATTATTGTTTCAAAAAGAACAGAAAGCTGCTTTCCATGTGCTCCCTGAAAATGTAGGAAAAACTATCAGCAAAGTGGGAAGCTGAGGGGGGCAGGAACTACCTTTAAAAGCTGAGGCCAGTAATAAATACAATGGCCGCCACCACAGGGTCCAGACCAGACCTGTTTGAAGTTGGGCAGCTACCGGGTTGGTCACTTGCAAGTGAAGCTAGATGCTAATGTTTTCTCAGAATCTGCATATGCTTTTAAAAAAACATGTGTCTGAAGCATCCTTTGTTTAAAAAAAGAAACAAAAATCTTTGTTACAAAAATAACATGTCTGCTACCAAAGTTTCTGACTTCACAGAAGTTTGTAAAGTCAAAAGTGCACATTTCTAATCAGCCTCCTCGAAATGAAGTCTTGAAGGAGGGGCACTTTTAAATGTGTAGCAGCCTTCTGGACTTTTTGTCCCATGCATGCACTAATTATAATATATAATATGATATGATGTAGTATAATTCTCACTTTTAGGTCTACTTTCTTTTTTAAAACCTTTTTTTTAATGTGCATTTTTGAGAGAGAGTGAGCGAGAGAGGGGCAGAAAGAGAGGAAGACACAGAATCACACAGGGCTCAAACTCACAAACTGAGATCATGACCTGGGCCAAAGTCAGCCACTTAACCGACTGAGCCACATAGGCACCCCTAAATGTGACATTTTTCTGTGGTCAATTGTGTCCATTTTTTTCTTTATTACTTTTGGATCATATAGCATATACAGGTAGGCTTTCCATACTCAAAGATATGAAAATATATTTCTGTGTATGCTTTTTAGCACCATGACTGGTTTTTTTAACATTTAAGAATTTAACACAACTATAGTTTATTTTATTTTTTAAATGTTTGTTTATTTATTTTTGAGAGTGAGAGAAACAGAATGTGATCAGGGGAGGGGCACAAAAAGAGGGAAACACAGAATCTGAAGCAGGCTCCAGGCTCTGAGCTGTCAGCACAGAGCCAGACGTGGGGCTCAAATCCATGAACCATGAGATCATGACCTGAGCTGAAGTCGGCGCTTAACCGACTGAGCCAACCAGGTGCCCCAACTATAGTTTATTTTTGCGGATGATATGAGCAAGGAATCTGTCACACAGTCACTAAGTTAAATGTTCTATGTAGGTTTCCTTTTACCCAGGGATTGAGATCCATTGCTTTGACTTAATGTCATTTCCTGAGCAACTGAGATAATATTCATATTTGTGCCTAAATTTTTTAAAAAAGCAAGCATAATTAAAAATTTTTTACTCACTCTAGCCTAAAGAAGCACAAAACTGGACACTTACTTTGGAAATCCGTCATCGGATGTTTTTTGTTTTTCCTTTTTTGCTTTTCTTTTTTTCTGTGGTTGGCTCTCTCGGTGCTTTTTTCTCCTGTGCGCATTCATCAATGCATCGTTTCTCTCCCTGACTCGCAAATGTCTTTCCTCTTCCTGAATCCTCGCTCACTTTTCCTTTCCTCTTCTTTAACCATCTGTCGTGTTAACCAGCATCAATGCTCTGCATGATTCGTTCTGGTTGTTCGATTGTATTCCGTGGACTCCACGCATTTTTGTTTGCTTGGGAACAAGTTTTTATTTACCTAACGCAATTTCAATAGAGTTGTAACATGTCTGCTAAACATAAGCTCTGGGGATTTCAAGCCTTTACAGCTGAGGCTCAGCATATATTTCTTTCTAATCACAAAGAATTTTAAATATAAAAAACGCCTTTTGAGAAAGAGAAAAAATCCATTGTCATCTTTCACACGCATACGTTTTCCAATACTTTTAATCATGGGATGCATGTTTGTATGATGCTGGTCACTTAGGAACATTTACTATATTTCTATGCGGTCTTGTTAGAGGCCAGGTAGCAGAATGGACAGAAAGCTTCTATTTGAAGCCTTGTCAACCAAAGGGGGATCCCGAGTTCGCCTCCCAGTTCCTCTTCTCTTTGAGGGGGGCTAGTAAAACCCACCCAAGGCTTTTGTGAGGATTAAAATGTGGGTAAGAAGAATGGCACCCCTAAGAGACACACCTGCTTTGGTAAAGGAGCACATCCGCAGGGTTGGGGGGTGCGTGCGTGTGTGTGTGTGTGTGTGTGTGTGTGTGTGTGTTATTGCTGCTGTAAAAGAAGCAAACAAAAGAGCCACGTGGTTTGGCTCTCAGAGGGTAGGTTCCGCTGGTCTCACTTCAGTTCCTTTTGCAGGAAGATCTCAGAATCACAAGGAAACTAACCCCAAACATGAGCCTCGCATGTAACATCGTAGCCAGCTGCCTTCTGCTTTTCATCCTTTCCACCCAAGGTAAGGGGGTGGGGGGGTCTCCACCAGAGCCCCTGGGGTGCGTAAGAGTCAAAGAGGTCACAGCCCAACTTCCTCTGGTGTTGAGTCTCAAGGTCTCACTGTCTTGCTTTTTATAGGTGCGGCTCCTGAAAATGATCTCTTCTGGGGTACCCTGGGTCAGGACATCAACATGGACATTCCTGGTTTTGAAACGAATGATAGTATAGAAGATATAACATGGGAAAAAGACAAAAAGAGGGTGGCCCGGTTCCAAACTAGGAACAAGCCTAAGAATCAAGATGACAAATATATTGTATCGGTGAACGGAACTCTGAAAATTAAACAGCTGAGGATGGAGGATGAAGGTGCCTACAAAGTCCTTATGTATAATAAGAATGGAAAGAATGAGTTGGAAAGAACATTTCAACTGAAGATTCAAGGTAAGTCTATGTTCCCTAAATCCTTCCATCTCCATTTGGGTGCTATTGAGTAAGCTGGGGAATAGCATTTATGGAACGGCCCTGGCCTGACCTTGGCCTTGGGAGAACCCTAAAGAAAATCTAATGCATCTCTCCCACCTCAACGAGGGCTCCAATCCCGTGGAAGAGATGAAGTGTACACTTGTGGAAGTACACGGCTGATAGATCCTTGACTCCTCTATCTGCCTAAAACGCTCAGGTCAGAGGTCATGGGGTTGCAGAGCTGAGCGTAGAACCCAGATGAAGGTGGTATCAGTCCGGAGGAGGGGAACTGACGGGCAGAAGGGAATGGTCATTCCAAGCGGCTCATGAAGGAGCAAGCTGGGTGTGGGGCAGGCTGAGTGGAGAGCAATCAGTCTTCCATCCAGAGAGACATGGCAAGCCAGGAGGCCCTGAGGCAGTAGTTCTCTGGCAAGAAAGGGCTGCATGTAATGAATTTAGAGATGAACAGCCCTTGTTTCATCAGGGCGCGATCAGAAGTGGAAGTTAACTTTTGCTGCTCTCTGTAGAAGATACTCCAGGTGTAGCTGTCTGTGTGTGGTGCTCTGGGAGGGCAGGTGTGCAGACTGAAGATGGGACAGGGAGCTGCTGCTATAATCCAAGTGAGGTTGGTGATCTGAAACTCAGACTGCCTGTTAGAGTCGACTGAGATCCAGGCAAAGTACTGATGCCTAGGTCCCAGCCCAGACCAATCAAACCCGAATTCCCCGGCATGGGGCCCAGGCCTCAGCGGTGTTCGAGCACCCCAGCCAACTCATGGGCACCCAAAGCATGACCACTGGCCTCGATGAAGGGTGCCCGTAAAATGAGGAAGCCAGGGACCCGGGGGGAAAAGATGGTCAAGATGACTTGGGTACAGTAGAGAAGGAAGAGAAAGTGAAATTGAATGACACTAAAGTTGAAAGTCCAGGTGGACACTTGGCTGGTGGAGGAGGGTGAGCAATAAGAGGAAGAGAAGCTTGGAGAGAAGGACAGGAACTCTAGCAGCAACAGGAGCCAGAGTTTCAGGGTGCAAATAAGTCACTATTTCTGTGCTTCGCACAGAAAATGTCACCAGAGGCGGGGGCCCTTCCCCCTCCCCGGGAGCCTGTTCCCAGCCCCCACTCTAGCAATCCGAGATGCTCCCGCTCCCTGCAAATGACAACTTTCCACACCCTCGGTCTGCAACCCTGAACGGAGAGGCTATTCCAGAAATGGGGTGGGGCTAAGAATGGAGCCAGGAGGGGCCTCTGCTTCTGGGCTCTGGGGACACAGCTCCTGTGACTCTTGTCCATAGGGGCCCAAGTGTCCTCTCCTGAACACGAGCCTTACACTTGGGTCTCATCCAGTAATGCCGTGATAATGGCTTCCCAGCTCGGTGCCAGCCCCCCTGCTCCGTGATCTTACTTAAGGTTTCCAACACCGCAGAGAGCATCCCCTTGTCACCCAGAGGGACAGAAGCAACTGGCCCAAATCTCACAGTTGGACAGGAGCAGGTTCAGGGTGCGTGTCCAGGATGGACATTTCCTCACCCCCCAAGCAGCTTTATTGACTTAGAATTCACATACTAGAAATTTATCCTTTTAAAGAGTACATTTCAATGGCTTTTGGTATATTCACAGAGGTAGGCCACCAGCCCACAAGTGATTGCAGAACATCTGCGTTACCCACAAATAAACCACACTTTCCTTGGCCGAAAGATAGAGATCTTTCCATGACGGGACAGGCGCCTGCTGAGTGTATGTATGTGTGTCAACGTCACATGGCATCTTAATTCAGTTTGTGGCCTGTTCCCCATTACTTGACACATGGCCTTGGGCAGATTCTCTGTCTGCTCTGAGCCTGATGGGTATTGTAATAACTCCATGGGGTATTCAATGAGATAACAGAGCAAAGGTGCCCAGCAGCACCTGGGACCCAATACCCATTTGCTCGGTGCTAATGCCCTACCCCGCCCCTGTTTCTTCATGCTTCTGTAGTTTCGGTTTCCTTAATGAGGATGCTGCTACCCTTGGCTGAAGAGCATTGGAAGCTTTCTTAAAAGAGAGCTTAGGGGAGAATGAATAAATCCTAGCAACCTTGATCTAGGGAGTTCTCATGTACGTGATGTGCCCCCACTTGATCCAGCCATGCCTCTTCCAGGAAGCTACCTTACAGAGAGGACATTTACAAAGACATGGCTTCAAGAGCCTGCCCATCACTGTGTGGTTTATATTAGTGAAATACTGGAAAGGGTTGCAAAATCCCTTACATTACAAACTTATTCATTATGTTAAGAATACCTCATTTAAAAAGATGGAGGAGATAAATATCTCTCGATGTTCATAAAGGAAAGAACTTCATAACAGTTCATCGGTAAGGGGGAAGAAGGCAGACTACAAAATCATATGATCCAGTTTTAGTTTTTAAAACATTATGTACATCTGTGTTATGTATAGAAAACATCTGATAAAGATATACATTAAAACACTAACAACTATTGACTCTGGGTCGGAGAATTACATGGGATTTTTTAAGCTTGAAACATGTTGCTGTATCTGATCAATTTTTACAATGATTGGATGTTACTGTTAGAAATAGAAAAAAAGAGATTCTTTCCATTTTGAGAAGGCAAGTAAACACGTTGACCTGACCCCTAGACCCTGCACTGCCCCTTCCTTGTAGACCCTCCATCCTGTTCATTCTGGATCCCAAAGAATTTTGTTAATTTCTGTTCATTTCTGCATGCCTATCTACTAGAGCAGAAATGACATCTGATGGGAAAATGCCCAGAGAAGATTCGTTGCCTGGGAGGCAGGGAGGGAGGGAGTCATTGAAAACGAAGCACTCAGGCTGCATAATTAATGGGGAGACACTGCGCAAGAAAGGTGGTAAGTCTGGGAAGAGAGAGTAAGGGTGAGAACAAGAAGAGAAGAAAAAGGCGGAGGTCAGACAGCTGAGAAGTAGTGGGGTTAGCATTTGGACCAGCCTTGTGTGAAGCCAAGGGCTTTTTCTTTCACGACACACCCTTGGAATATTCTTGTGTCAGAAAAAGAGAGGCAAGGAGTTGATGATTATGAATGTAACAGCGATCACCAATAATGTCAGTGCCTAACGATTTGTCCAGGGCTCGGTCACACGTTGTCTGCGTTATCACAAGTGAGGCGTGTTTTTCTTATCCATCTCTTACAGATGAGGTCCAGTGAGGCACAGTGAGGGGCCAAGTCGCTTTCCGTGGTGGTGGTGGTGGAGGGGCTGGTGCCCACTCACACCAGAACTTGAGTCACATACCCTGCCCTCTCCTCCCAGGATCTGGTGGATGGAATAGTGTAGGGTTTGTGTGTGACCAAGGTCTCAGGCCACAGGGTAGGGTTCCAGGCTGCTTTGAAGCATTGCCCCCCTCAAGTTTTGGGGATCAGGGCATGGTAACTCTCTTTCCCATGCTCCTGAACTTGGGCTTAGAAGAGTGAGCTCCTCCCGTTATCTGCCATTTATTAGTGGGTGCCCTTAGATCACCATTTAACCTCTCAGGGCTTTGGGCATGTCCATTGTAAACGGCAAGAAAAATCAGTCTCTTCTCTTCTTTAGGATTAAATGATATCACGTATGTGAAAACACTTTAAGGTATAAAATAGCACACGAACATTTGACATGATACAGTTTTTGGCTCATATAATGTATCTATGAACTTCATAAAAATTGTTCTGAGTGTGCTGTATTTAAAAAAATGATTTTCAAAACTAGCTAGTGGTCTGGGGAATTGTTCCCTGGCCCCGGACGGACTCCATTCCCCCCTCTATAAATAACCATGTCAATTAAAATCAGAAAAGTGACTACTAGGAGTCGGATCTTTTTTTTTTTCCAGAGAAGATCTCAAAACCTAAGATCACCTGGAATTGTACTGCCAAAATGCTGTTCTGTGAGGTAGTGAATGGAACTGACATTGAACTGAAACTGTATCTCAATGAGAGCAAAGTCAGAACGGCTCCTTCGAAGAACATCTCCCACCCGTTGAAAAACAGGTGGAAGAAGACATCAGTCAAGTGCACGGCAAAGAACAAAGTCAGCGAGGAAAGCACTGTGGAGACCAGCAGTTGCTCAGGTGTGTGGCAAGCACTGGTCAGACATGCCAAGCTCATTTGGCAAAACCCAGCCTGCCAAGTTCAGGGCAGAGACTCGCCCCGGGGCATGGGGGACTGGACTGGGAGGCCGCCCTTTGAAAACACACCTCTTCCTCCTGGAAACCTTCAGGGGAAGCCTTGGAGGAGAGAGGGGCATGGTGTTCTGTGGTTACCCATCTTGGGCAGCCTTCCGCGGGGCACAACTTCCCCTCCGGCAATGGAAAAGATCCTCTTCTCGGAGAAAGGATTGCCCCATGGAAGCCATAGAAGGAGAGGTTGTGGTTTATCTCATGCCAGCCCCCATTTCCCAGAGAGGTAAACTGACTTGCCCCAGGTCCCTCGGCTAGTCAGCGACCAGGATTGTGACTCCCAGGGAAATGATGGAGAAGGGAGCAAAAAAGATTTCTTTCTAGAAAAGAGATGGGCAGTACCTCCTACCAAGAGCAAAGGTAGAAAGGGAGGAGAAGTCAGGGGGGCACTGGGAGAGGGCATGCTCAGGGCAGGGCCAGGAAGGACAGTGGACACAGTGAGGCGAGGCTCCTCCCACCGCAGAGCTGACGGCCCCGCTCGGTGCCAGCACCAGGAAGTCCTGAAACCTGAATTTCAACCCTTCCCCCGAGTCCCCGCAGGACACGGTCCCCGGAAGTAATTCTTGAGAGGCAGCCTGCGGTTCTGGGCGCTCTGGGAACCAGGCCGCGGCTTCTAGTTCGGGCCTGTCCAAATTTAGCAGGATGATCCTCCCCCCTCTCTGGGCTTCCGTCTCCGGGTCCACAGAGACGAGGAGCGCCATGGCTCCGAGAGTCTCTTCTTCCGGTGCCCTGTGCTCACTTTTCCCCGCGCTGCCTGGCTAACCCCTCTGAAGGGTCCCTGAGTTCCTCCAGGGACCAGGGCTGCTCAGCCACCTCAGAAGCAGCCCTGAGCTGGAGCGACGTCAGAAGTGAGGCGTTTTGATACACGCTTTCAATTCGTTATCTGTCGCTGCAAAACAGATTGCTTGGTTAGTGGCTTCCAGCAACAGCTCCTGTGTCCCAGTGTCTGTCGTGAGTCCTGAGTCTGGGAGTGCCTTTGCTGGGGGTTCTGGCTCAGTCTTCGTGAGGGCTGCAGGCAAGACACCGGCAGGGACCACAGTCGTGTCGGTCAGGCCCAGGCTCTGTGTGGGGAGGGTGCACTTCCGGGTTCACGTGGACCTTTGGGCCGCCTCACAAGATGGCTGCCCTCCACCGGCTAAGAGAGAGCAAGTGCTCAGGACCAAAGCCACAGGCTCTTTGTCACTTCATCTCAGGAGAAATACCCCATCACTTTTGCTGCGTTCTGTTCTCTGGGAGCAACTCAGTAAGCCTGGCCCACGCGCTCAGGACGGGCGCTCAGAGATGGGGATACCAGGGGGGACTGTGGGGGGCATCTTAGAGTCTGCCCACCACACGCTTAGGCCAGCATCACTTCACCCTCACGTTGGTCCCCAGCCATGGCTCCGCACCCCTGCCATCATGAAGGCTCCCTTGACTTCGCAGCCTCTTTTCCCCCTTCAGGGAGCCCTTAATTAGAGTTGCCAGACTTGGCAAATAGGGAAGACAGCATAAGTATCTTCTAAGTATCTTCGTGGGATATACTTATGCTAACAGTTATCCATGGTTCATCCAAAATGCAAATGAACCTGGGTTTCCCGTGTTTTATCAGGCAACCCCGTGTTTCATGTTTATTCTCACCAGATCCCAGCGGGATAGAAAGGCATGTGCATCGGGGACAGAGCGAGTCGGGAAGGGCCTCGGGAGAAGCCAAGGCTCGAAGGTTGAACATTTGTGTCCCTTCCTCTGTGGGGCAGAGCAGACGTCAGTCCGGAGAAGGGATGTTCATGAAAGAGAAGGGAAGGATACCCGGGGGGAGGGGTACAGGTGCTCTTGAGGACGCTCAAAGGGATCGCTGTCAAGGGCCAAGCCAGAGAGGGGGAAGGACAAGACTAAGCATTTGGCTCAGCAAAGGTGAGCCTGTCCTTGAAACTGAAACACTGAGGGAGCTGCAGGTTTGGATGCAGAAGACAGACCCCCTCCAGGAGCGTCCAGGGGCGTCTTCTCCAGGAGGGCATCCAGGAAGCAGTGTGCATGGATTCAGAGATGGCGAGGGTGTGGTTTTGAGTGACGGAGCCCCGGCTGCCTCTGAGACAGGCTGGAAGGTTCCCTGTGGAGAGGACCCCAGGTGCCCCGCAGGGCCATGCCTGCATTTCCCTCCCAGTGCCCCCAGACAGGGCTGTGGCCACCCCATGGCCACAGGGCTCAGCCCGAACTCCCTGACCTGTGTCCCCAAGAGAGATTCCAGCAGCCTCTGGCTCCAGCCCGTGGAGTCTAAAGGACCCCGATGCTTTCTTGGCCGCATGGAATGGGAGCTTAGGGTCCTGCCTGCTTTTTGAATGGAAGCACCTTCTTCCGCAGGGTAGGGAGAGGTTGTATTAGTGGCAGGCAAAGAATGGGGCAGAGAGGGAGCTGAGGACAGAGAATTAACAAACTACTGCAGCCGGAAGAGCTGTTCAGTTTGGCTCCCGGGCCCCTGGCTTACTCCCCAGGACCCATCCAGGGTTTTCCATGTGACAGGGTCTTCCTGGTCTGGAAGAGGGTTTCCCTGGGTCGCTGGCTGAGCTCCAGTTTGTTCTCCAGATGCTCCAGCCCCCTGACACCCGGCCCCAGCTGCTGCCTCTCTAACTGCTGCTGACTCACAAAGGGTGGTCAGCCCAGCACCTCTCCCGGCAAATGGCTCCCAGAAACACCAGGGCACAGGGTTCTGCTGAGAACAAGACCTCACCCCTGTGCATTGGTTTACAGTCTACAAAGCACTTTCACATCCATTATCTGATTGACTCCAACAGCCACCCTGTGATGTAAGTTTCATGATCTCCCTTTTATGAAGAATGGAACAGGCCCAGAGAGGTGGAGTCACTCACCAAAGGTCACACAACTCTTGCCTAGGAGAGCCTGGATTCAAACCCATTTCTCAGAACACTGAGCTGTTGGCATCCGCGTTGCATTACAGCAGTGGGAGGTCTGTGAGCTGAAGATCAAGTCCATGGCTGCTGCTAACTTACTTACTGTGTGTGTGAGGTTCTCTCAGGGGCCAGGGAAAATCTGGGAGTGGGCGGCTGGCCAGCAGGCTCGACAGCTGAAAGATTTACCCCTGAGTCTTTGGAAAATTCCTGGTTGAGAGGGTGAGAGGAAAAAAAAATGGTGTAGGAGGCAGCCAGAGGTGAAGGTGGACAAATAGTGCAGAAACATGGACTCACAGGATCTGCTTAAAGGAACCACTCGGAAACAGATGCTGTGTGGCCTCAGGCAATTCATCCTCCCTCTCTGGGCCTGACTGTGAAACTAGAAGGTGATGCTAGATTATCTCTCAACTCCTCCTCAGAGCTAAACTTCTGCGACTTGCTCCTTGATTAGGAGCAGTGGCCCATGTCCTGGCACATGAGGAATGTGGCATTTCGAGGCCAGAGCAGGTGTCCCCCCAGGAGCCATCTGGGGGGGTTGCTGATCCTGAACCCTGCACCCTTTCAGAGGCTGACACAACTGAGAGCCTCTATCAGCTCAGCTTTTCTGTGGTTGAAAATTCCCATCAAGCTGTTTTATCTGCGTCACGTGGTAGTTGGGAGTCCTTGGCCAGGGCGACGAGATGGCTGCTCTGGCCGGGACCCCTCCCCTCCATCCATGTGTGTTCCTCTTGCAGAGAAGCATCTGGACATCTATTTCATTATTGGCATTTGTGGAGGAGGCACCATCTTCGTCATCTTTATGGCTCTACTCATCTTCTACATCAACAAAAGGAAAAAACAGAACCAGAGGAGGAATGGTAAGCTTCCCCCCCCCACCTCCCCACTTCTGTCCCTCTGCAGCACCCCCCGTGACCCCCATGGCAAAATCCCCGTGGCAACAACTCATGCGGAATGACACATTGAGTCTGGAAAGGAAATAATGGAGATGGGGTCGTTTCAGAATGTCAGGGTTATAACCAGCGGTGGCAGTTTGTTCCATTCTGTGGTTAGCTTGATCTTTGAAAAACACATTCTCGGTGGCGACAGCAGGAGAGCTTTGAGAAGCCAAATCCCGGCTGGCCTCCTGGAATCCACCACCGAGGCTGCCTCGGTGAAAGCCTGTGTGGACCGATCTTGAATGAGCCACACATCTCTCCGTGGGTAGAATGGTTAGTGTCAAACGTCGTTTTTCTGTGAACAAACATCTCGTCCTCTCTTGAGAGAGTGTGGCCCAAGATGTGTCGAGGACCAAGGTCCTAGGAACGCAGGTAAACTTTCAGGGCCCCGCAAGGACACGTATGGTCTAAAGCCAGGGTTTTATACCCCCTTTTCCAATTTGTTGTCTGGACGGGATATGCCAGTCCCGGGACGGAGTCTTCCTGAAGTCAGGCCCCTCCAATAGCCCACCGGGAGTGAAAACGCTGGGCTCATAAGTGGGGAGCTGGCTCAAGGAGCACACAGTACAGGCCACCCAAGGCAGTGAGTTCCGAAGACGGTGCATCAGCTGGCCCCGCGGGCTCTGGGGTGCGGGGTGGTGCCCCATGCCACAGGAAGGTCCAGCAAGGTCCGGCCGTGCAGCCAGACGAGCAGACCCTTGGTCTCTGTGCACTCTGCCCTTCGCTGTAGGGTTGGGTCCCCTCACTCTGGGCCTCTCCCTAGAGTGGGCCCGGGACGCCCACGCCGGCCACCTGCAGCCCGACACAAATCAGGACGGGGGCTGAACCTGCCCCAGTAGGGGCAGCCTTGAGCCCCTTTTGGATTTCGCTTGCTTCCTTCAGACGTTTTGCCTTGGGTCTCCTTCAGGCCCCTGCTCCTCAGCCCCACGTCCTGCCACGCTGCTGCCCAACCCTCCCCCCACCCCCGCACCCCCCATGTGGGGCCACATTTCCACCACCATCTTTCCAGCATCCCTGCCCGCCTGGAGCAGAATTGCTGGCTGAGTCCCACAGGCGCCCAGAGGTCCCTCACCTCTGTGCCCTGCTCAGGCGCTTCTCTGCCCAAGCCCCCCTGCATTTCCCCAGCACCTGAAGCTCCAAGATCACGTATTCCTCTGACACAGCCCACGCACACCACCCCACAACAAGGCGATCCCTGCTTTCACCAGGCCACAGTGACCGATATGATCATTAGCTGACATTGACAAGCAGTCGCTTGTCACAGGCAGTTATTTATGTCTGTAACACAAGGCTTCGTACCCACTGTCCTCTCCAAGTTTCTCAGTGACCTTATGAGATAGATAATATCCAAAGGGGTGAGGAAATGTAAGCTCAGTGAGGGTAAGTGATTTCCTCCCAGAGCCCTGCAGCTCTGCCCGCACCTCCCTGGGCTCTCAGCAGAGATGGACATTGTGGTTTGCAGTTCCGGTTCACGTCACTTGACTTGAGGCTTCCTGAGGGCAGGGTTTGTATCTGAGCCATTGCTGCTGCTTAGCAAGGGCACCCGAACTCAGACGACAGGGAGTAGGTGAAGAACAAAGTCACAGGACGGTGGGTGAGTAGACCGGTAAACAAATGTGCAGCCCAAGCTGGCCTTACAGGGAAGCTTCCCCATGGTCCCACTGCTGGGAATTGGGGTCAGGGTCAATGTCCTGTCCACAGCCTCCTGGCATACCCACGGCTACCTCAGGCCACCAAAGGTGGCGAAGAGGATGGGGTTTTCCCCTCCTGTGCCCTTGACCTTTTGTGCTTAGAGCACTCTGGCCCCTCATGTGCCGCAACCACATTGTTAGACTCTGAGTCTTCACATTCAAAGGGGCCTGAGGCCACATTTCCAGCTGTTGGGGAGGCTGTTTGAAGGGCGGCCCCACCTGAAGTTACAGGGAGATGTTCAGAGGGAGCATGCCCACTCCGTACTGACACGCAAGGCCTTTCATGATCCCAGGAGGACACCTTCTTCCTGGCTCCCGTGGGAGGCCTTCAAGGATGGCTTTGGACAGAGAGACTGGGCCCCCTCCCTCATAACCCAGGGAGGCCCGAGGGGCCAGCAGGGCCCCCCAGGCCTCGACAAGTGGAGCCTCCTCACAGATTGCCCGTGTGACTTTAAGGCAGCAAAGGCACAACCATGTTCCTGGAAGCTGTGGCCCTGCCTCCGTGGATGGCAGTCATGCATCATGGAAAATTCTGGAGGAGTGACAGGAGGAGACATTCTTTCCCTTCCGGGCCCAAGGGGATGGGGCTTGCTTGTGAATTTCTGAGAAATTTGTAGACACGAGTTAAGTTTCTAAGGACGAAAAAGCACCTTTGCTCATGTTCCTTACAACAACGCCGGATGAAAGGTAGATCTAAGAGGGAAGCCCACCTGAAGGCAGGCTGTTACTGACGCCCCCTCTGACTACTGAGCCCCTCCTAAGGGCTCTAACCACAGGGGCCCCTCAGGGCATGGTCTCTAGGATAACCCAGAGGCAGGGTGCTGAGGTCTGAGTGCCGTCTCCAAGTCCTCAGGGACGCCCAGGCACAAAGGCCTCCCCCCACCCCCTACTCTCTGCCTCTGGCTCTCACTCTACCCTGCTGGCCGGCACGCCTCCTACAGGATCTGGAAATTTTACAGGGTAGAGGTGGCTTCTGCCTCCTCATCGCACCCCTCTGAACAGCTAGCCTGGCATCTTGCACGTAGGCGGTGCACTCAATAAACATTTACAGCGATCCTATCTTTACCGAGAGACTCCTGTCTGATTTTGTGTCATTGCAGGGGAAGAGCTGGAGATAAGAGCGTGCCGAGTGACCACGAAGGAAAGGGGCCTGAAGTCCTGCCAGGTCCCGGGATCGACTCCTCAAAGTCCAGCCGCGTCCGGGCCCCCTCCACCGCCTAGTCACCGGCCCCAGGCCCCTGGCCACCGGCCACCGCCCCCTGGCCACCGGGCCCAGCACAACCAGCAGAGAAAGGCCCCTCCTCCTCCAGCGACGCAGGTGCATCAGCAGAAAGGCCCGCCCCTCCCCAGGCCTCGAGTGCAGCCCAAAGCTCAGCGTGGGGCCACAGGAAGCTCGTAACCCTGTCTCTGGCCACGGTTGTCCCCGTCCTCACGCTAAGAGAGAGAGAAATCATTCTTTCCCATAAAGGCACCGTGGAGTTTCTCCGCTGTGAGCGTGAGCACCTGCACTTCCATCGAGTGTGTTCTGCGGTCGGATTGTCACCCCCTGGGCGCCTGCCTGGGCCGCGGCCATGTCTGCGTCTCCTAGCTCGCCCACGTGCTCTAACACCTGGAGCCTCTGGGCTCCTCAGAGATTCTTGTCACACCTGCAAGGGCTGGCCGTGCGGGTGCCGGCCTCGGGAGGGGGGGGCCACTGGCCTCCGAGTCCTCGCCTCCCCTTCAGATCATGTGCAGATGTGAGATGTCCTGTGCTCTGGGGCCTGGCTGCAAGCCATCTGCCAGCTCAGAGACACCCTTGGGCTTCTTCTGTCCCTGGTGGATGCTTGCCTGCCATCTGGGAGGCAGAAGTGAAATAAAAGCTTTCATTTGACCTCAGTGTCTGCTCCTTGTAGAAAGAAGGCCAGCATCCGGCTGTTGGATAAGAAAGGGGCTGGGTATGTATGTGACGGCAGGACCCAGCTCGGTCACCCCAACTCACCCGGACCACCTAACTGCCCCCCCACAACAGCCACAATGTGCTCCCCAGGTCTCAGCCACTAGGCTGGCCCGACAGGCCTTCTGTAGGCTTGTCTAAGGGATCGAAACCTCTATGTGCAAACTATAAGAAAGGGCATCAGCAAATGTAATTGTTTGCGTCTTGCTTCCTCGACTGTTCAGACACTGTCATGACGATCTGTAGAATCGTCCCTGAAAAGAAGGGAATCCACGAATACTAGGAGGTGCCATGAGCCTATCAAATACCGCCAAAGGGCAGGCAGAGAGCCACCTCGGTGGAATCAAATCCTGCGTGTCTTAAATGGCCATTAGGGAAAGATCATACCCATCCTCAGCTAGCGGCCACATGCTAACTGCGCTGGGGGAAGTGGGAGGAAAAAAAACCCCAGTTTTCAGTTAAGGTTTAAAACGATAGGCGGGGAGGAGGCACCTGCTTTGAAATGTTGGTGCCATGTTTGTGGTCCCATCCGCCCTCCTTCTCCTGGCTTCTTAGACTTGCTAAACCTTGTCAAGATGGGGCAGGAAGCTCTGAGGTCTAAACCACAAAGTCTATGTATATTCAGGGCTTCCTGTGAGAGCTCACCGAGGGTGGAATCGCTCTTGCCTCTAACCCTCAGTGTCTGTGCATTAACACCCGGACTCCATTATTCGGGATGATGGCAAATGGACTCCCACAGCCTCCTGAAATTCAGACCCGAAATCCAGCCAAGTAGCAGTTATCATGGGGTCTCCCTGGTGGGGAGATGAAGGTCCTGGCTCTGGCTTGTTCTCCTTCCTCATGACAGCCCTGAGTGATCCCATCAGCCCTCCTGCCCACGTGGCTCATTCCCAGTCGCTTCATGAAGCTTCTCTGGCCTTCCCGCCCCAGGCCCACCTTTCTTCTGAAGTCCTGTGACGTTACAGATGGTACAGCGTTCCTGCATTCAACAAACATTTACTGAACGCCTCTGTCCCAGGCTCCGTGCTGGGTGGTAGGAAACCAGGGGCGTATGGTTGCATCTCTGCCCAGACTCAGCTTACAGTCCAGAGAGGGGAGGACAAAGGTAATGCAGCTTGGTAAGTGGAGGTCAGGGGCAAGTACAAGAGCCTAGAGGAAGGACTTCGAATCCACACTGAATGCAGGAACGGGGGTGATATGGAAGGCTTCCTGGAGGAAGTGGCATTTGAATTGAGTCATCATAAATCAATAGCGCTGGTGAAATAAATGTGCAGAATCACCCGTGTACAGGGAACTGCATGAACAAGGTTCACATCAGCTACCTGTTTATACAGCTATGCTTTTCCCTTTTCTTTCTTTTTTTAATTTTTTTAATGTTTATTTATTTTTAAGAGAAAGAGAGAGAGTGCAGGCAGGGGATAAGCAGAGAGAGGGAGACACAGAATCTGAAGCAGGCTCCAGGCTCTGAGCTGTTGGCACAGAGCCCGACGCAGGGCTCAAACCCACAAAGTGCAAGATCATGACCTGAGCTGAAGTCGGACACTTAATCGACTGAGCTACCCAGGCATGCCTTATTATTCCCTTCCCAACTACTGTGTTTCATCAATTTGAAGATACCACTGATTCTAAGTGGCATCAGTATTTTGCATACCATACACAAGAAAGAATACTTTCTATTGCCTTGTAACAAATGCTAAGATACAATCCATTTTTAGCCACAACTCCATTTCCAAGATGTAAAATGTAAAAAAAAAAAAAGTAAAAAAATGTAAATGTAAAAAAAAATGCTTTTTAAAATCAATGAACTCAAGGGGCACCTAGGGGCTCAGTCGGTTAGGCGTCCCACTTTGGCTCAGGTCATGATCTCATGGTTCATGGGTTCGAGCCCCGTGTCGGGCTCTGTGCTGACAGCTAGCTCAGAGCCTGGAGCCTGCTTCGGATTCTGTGTCTCCCTCTCTCTCTGCCCCTCTCCCACTCATGCTCTGTTACTCTCTGTCTCAAAAATAAATAAACATAAAAAATTTTTTTAAATAAAAATATTTATTTAAATAAAAAATAAAATAAAATCAATGAAAGCTTCCTGAGGACAATGACAATTTCTCAGTGTTATGTCTAGCACTTTGTTGAAAATATCACTAGCCGATTGATTGAATAGGTAAGGACGGTCCTGTGAAAGGAAGGACAGGGAATATCTGTGGCATCTACAGACAAAAGACACATTCCCTGCCCTGTTGCAGTCTCCACTGTCAGACGGAAGACATGGGCTTTGTTCAAGATTTATGCTGCCATCACTCACATGTCTGGTGTTGTGTGACCTTCCACTGATCCTGTCCTGGACTTTCTAGGAAATGGTTGGGCCAGCTGCATGAGAATAGATTGTGGATAAAATAACTTAAAAAAAAAATGAGGTGTCCAACTGGCTCAGTCGGAGGAGTGTGTGACTCTTGACCTTGGGGTCATGAGTTTGTGCCCCACATTGGGTGTAGAGATTACTTAAATAAATAAACAACTTAAAAGAAAGAAATACCAATGATTCCATAGGCTAGGTTGGGGCCCAAGCCCCTGTGTTTTGTTTTTTTTTTTAATGTTTATTTTTGAGAGAGAGAGAGACAGAGTGTGAGTGGGGGAGGGGCAGAGATAGAGGCAGACACAGAATCTGAAGCAGGTTCCAGGCTCTGAGCTGTCAGCACAGAGCCTGATGTGGGGCTTGAACTCATGAACCGTGAGATCGTGACCTGAGCTAAAGACAGACACTCAACCGACTGAGCCACCCGGGTGCCCTGTGTTTTAACAGGCTCTCCAGGTGATTCCAACAGACATTCAGGTTGGGGAAGCACTGGGATTTTGGTCCTCAGATTATTCATCATCAGTGGGTGGCCAAACTTGAAGTCTTATGGATAATATGACATTGTAGGAAAGACAGTGACAGCCCAGTTAAATAACCCTCCATTGGGCGCCTGGATGGCTTGGTCAGTTGAGCGTCTGACTTTGGCTCAAGTCACGATCTTGAGGTTTGTGGGTCTCAGCCCTGCATCAGACTCTGTGCAGAACCTGCTTGGGATTCTCTCTCTCTCCCTTTCTGCCCCTCCTCCACTTGTGCTCTCTCTCTCTCTCTCTCTCTCTGTGTCTCAAAATAAATAACCTTAAAAAGAAAAAAAAAAAAAAAGAAAAAAGATAATCCTCTGCAGAGAACTTCCAAGACAAGGAAGTTGGAAAAAATATCCAGGTAATTCAAGAGACCAAAACAACAGAGATTGTCAGAGGAAAGTGTAGTCTTTTCAACTGTTTTTTAAAGATGTTTTTTATTTATTTCTGAGAAAGAGAGAGAGACAGAGCATGAGCAGGGGAGGGTCAGAGAGAGAAGGAGATATAGAATCTGAAGCAGGCTCCAGACTCTGATCTGTCAGCACAGAGCCCAACGTGGGGCTCGAACCCATGAACCATGAGATCATGACCTGAGCCGAAGTTGGACGTTTAACCGACTAAGCCACCCAGGTGCCCCCAAAAATGTAGTCTTTTTGACAGCCACGCCTGGCCTCCCTAAAAGTCAGTCTAACCCCAGCAGCTGGGCCAGCTTGGCTCTCGAGGGGTCCCTGGCCATGGACTTGGCCCTCCTCCCTGCAGTCTCTCTCATGGGCCCCTGGGGGCTCGCCCGTGTTTCCCAGGCTGCAGCCACACGACCCTTCAGGCTGGGGGTTGTGCACTGCACTGTTCCCCCCCTCCTCACCCCTCCACAGTCTTCTTTCAGGACACAGACTAAGGTCATTAGAGAGGCCTCTCCTGATCCTGAGCTCTGCCGTGACTTTGAGAGACTGTTTCATCTCCGCCACTGGCTCTGTGGTCATGGAGCTCAGAGTGGGAGAAGGCCCCAGGGCACCAGAGCTGGAGTCAGTGCCTCAGCTTTGCTGAATATTGGTTTTCTTATCTGTCAAATGGGGATAACAGTTCACCGGGGCAGAGTGAGGATTAACTGGAAATAATATACATAAATGCAACTAGTGTGTCTTGCTGGACAGAAGACATCTGATAACCAAGCTTTGTACCTGGCTTGATCCCGGAATGGAAATACCCCAGATAGTGGGTATAAGTGACCCGGTTATTGGAAAGAGACAAAGTTGATTATATAAAGTAATTAGGCACACTGTACGGTGGCTTGTTGTGCTGTGAGTTTGATTCACCTTAATTTCCTAACATGGAGCCACATGGGACAAATGGATAAAGTTCTATACCATATGTGTCACAAGCTGAAGAAGAGATCTAGGAAAACATGTCACAAAGCCTAGACTGAGCCACCAGCCTGGCTGTCACCTTCTTGGCCCCTTGAGCAGGGCCTCCCTGATGACACATCTGGACAGAAGACAGCTTGGGGGTTTATTCAGCAGCAACTCAAAGCAGGGGAAAGAGAGGCAGGGGAAATTCCGGTCTTTCTCATCGCCTACCTGTCTACGTGAGATCTACACACTGGTCAGGGCTGGCCTCGGGGTGGTGCTTCCTGCCAATGTTTGCGTTGGACAATCAACTTTCATGGATTCAAGCAAACAGTCAATGAGTCCTGAAGAGACAATATCTAGATTGCAGGGGGCTGTGATTGGGGAGGGGACAGGTCAGAGGTAACAATAAAGAAGGGGAATTTCTAGTTAAGGTAAGAGCTTAACTCACACACCAGCCTTTACTCCCCAGTGAAACCCAACAAAAGTGACATTACACTTCACAAAAATAACAGATATAAGCCACAAAAACAGGGGCACCTGCCTGGCTCAGTCGGTGGGGCCTGTGACTCTCGATCTCGGGGTCTTGAGTTCAAGCCCCACGTTGGGCATAGTTTTCACTCTAGGAAAAAAAGAAAGAAACCACAAAAACCCAAAGAGAACGGAGGGAAAAGCCCCAATGGTGTTATTTGGGGAGTTGGAAAAAGCAGAGGGAAGGGCAGGTGCTGA